CAGCCCCCCCCATTTGCAAACACAATGCTTGCATGATGGGCTTCAAAAAAATCCTTTTCCTTAAGGCTACTTTGCTCGGCTTAAGAAAGCAGGGGCCCCCCGTTTGCAAACACAGGCGAGTCCGGATCGTCACATATCTTAGTCTTAACCACGCCCCCTCATTTGGCGATTCTGCTTGAATCATATATCTTGAACACGCCTCCTCATTTGGCGATTCCGGTTTCATCATATACCCCCTCATTTGCCACATCCGGATCAACATACATCCTAAGCACGCCCCGTCATTTGGCGACTCCGGATCATCATATTTCTGGAGCACGCCCCTTCAATTGACATATATCTTAAACACGCTCCCTCATTTGGCGATTCCGGTTCAACATACATCCTAATCACGCCCCCTCATTTGGCGATTCCAGTTCATCATATATCTTAAACAGCCCTCCCATTTGGGCGATGCCGGATCATAATATGTCTTAAACACGCCCCCTTATCTGGCGATTCTGGTTACTCATATATCCTAAGCACACACACTCTCTCGTTTGAAGAAACAACACGAACAACTGAAACCAATTTGCAATTCCGGTTCATCATAACAAGAGGACCAAGAAAACAGAGGACCAGGGGAGCGCAGGACGGGGAAGCAGGGGACCGGGGGACCGCAGCCTCTGGTCCAGGGGACCAGAGGACCAGGGACCAAGGGACCAGAGGACCAAGCAAGGGACCGGAACACCAAGGGACCAGAGGACAAGGGCTTGGCCGCACCTTTCAGGCAAGGGTTGGCCGCACCTTGGAAAACCATGGCCGCGACACACACGCACACAAAAAAACTAAAAAAAAAACCTGACAAAAATAGGATTCCGTGAAAGCTATCACATGGTCGCTGGCCAGCACTATAGCACTAGAACTTTCCTTTGTTTCCTATCCCTAGCACTAATACTTTCTGGACTGTCGGTATAAGGAGCTGATAGGACTGTTGCTACTGCAACGACGACGCCCCCTATTCCGACTACTGTTGCGATGCCACAAGGAGAAAATCCTCTGCCAAGGTCTACGGGCCTTTGGGCTGACTGGCCTCCCTACAGCCCCCCTTATGGCCGCCGCAAACGGAGCTCTGGGTATTCTTCTCCTGCTTTTGGCGCGCTCTCTTTGCGTTCATCACATCATGGAGTCCTTTGCCCAAGGCTTCCGCCTGTTCGAGTTGAAGTAGGCCTGGAGTTTCGGCCGGGACGCCATCCACTCCTCCCAGCAGGGAGCTGAAAATATCAGGAATCGATGTAATATCTATCTATCTATTTTTCTATCCATGTATGGGAACCTGTCATAGTGGACAAGAAGAAAAGCTCAAGCTCTGTCAAAGAGCCTTGTAGGCCTTGAGGCCTTCGGGGGCAGCGTCCCAAGCCCTCGAAAAGTGCTCCTCATTGAACTGAGCCTGTGGCCGAAGCAGGGCTCAAGAACCTTACGCAGCTCGGCCTCTTGAGGCTGAGGCGTGGCTCAACTCTCTCGCCCTCTGGCTCTCTTCTCGAATCCCTCACCGCGCCTCTGTTGCGTCCAAGACATGGAAGAGCAGGAAGTCTGCGTAGGTGACCGAAAAACCGCCTGCGACCGGCTTCCGTGGACCAGCCCGCAGAACGATCTTCCTCTGCGTCGCTCTGCGTTTATAGTTTATAGGATGCTTCAGGGCTTTAGTAACTTTAGTACGGTTCAAGATTTATGGCTCAGGGATTTTTTCACATGCGCAAAACCACCAGCTGCCAGGTGCGGCGGAGCTTCTCAAAGTGCTGCAGCCACAACCGCATGCGCGTGCGGCTCCACTCTTGGGAAGACTTGTCTGCGGCATCTTTCCTGACGACAGGAAAAGGGATATATAAACTGAAGACAGCAAGAAGGAGAAGCACAGCCAACCAAGGCTAACAAGTCTCTGTGATGAGTACGACCCCAAATGAGAATTGTCCAGGGGATGGAAACAGTTCCGCCCCTCAACCCAGTAATCCACCGCATTCTGCGCGATTTGGTCGGCACGTGCACCCTCAGCGGCAGAGGCATGCGCGTAGCCCAAGCATTGGCCCAAGTACCTGGTCTGCGGATCCGACGTGCTGTGTCCAAGCTTCGATAGGTGCTATCCCTGCCATCTGCATCCCACCTCAGACAGGCGATCTGCGTATTCACGAAGACCTCCTCGCCATCATGAGGTCGATGCCAAATTGCTGGAGGGAACATCACCTGGAGGGTGCGGACTCAGTACAGTGCTTAGGTCCGCACGCACGCTCATTTTTTCATCAAACTGTGACATTTGAAGGCAACCGAGAGTCTGGAAAGGGAGTGTTGTCCACAGTGATTGCGGCTTCAGAACCTCTCCACAAGTCGAAGGAGATGGAGGGACCCAACTCCTCACAGCGCACAGCGTAGGGGACACCGGCGTCCTCTAAAAGCAGCTTCATGGGCTCCGTGCGCCCTTTCCATGGCCGCTCCACGTGAACTATGGTCCACTCTGTCGTGTCCATTACAAGCCTGTGGCGAAGGCTCAACCGGAACGTGAGCTGAGCCTGGAAGGACGCGGGACAAACAAGTCAAGTAGCACCGTTGATGCACCTTCCTGGCGAGCTGACGAGGGGATTTCAAGGGAGGAGGCAGTTAGCATGCTTTCTCATCGCAGATCACGACTCAAATGATATCAACACTAGGACGGGTATTTTTTCGGGCTCGTGTCACAAAAGAAGACTATGTTGTCCCCTGCTATCTGTTGGTTGATGACTATGTGGCAACACAGGGTCAAGAGGAGTACGGCGTTATCTTGGTCTTGGTCGTGCGGAGTTCTTTCAGCCAGAACCCAAAACGGCAGAAATAATGCTCCGGGAGTGTCTAGGCCTAAGTCCCGATACCAGGAACTGTGAGAAAGCGCTTGAATATGAACGCATGCTGCTGCTGTTGCTGCTGCTTCAGACGCAAGGAAGTCAATCCAAAAGCAAAGTTTAGCTGAAGGTGCTGCAGCTCACATCGAGGAGCGCTCTTGCATTTTGGCTCCTGTGGTTTTAAGTCGACCGTCCCAGAGCATTTCCTCCTAAAGGCAGCTCTCAGCGAGTCTCAGCATCTCCCAGCGCCACCTCGGCGGTGGCCTCGAAGAGGGCGCGTGTGAGGGAGGTGCTTGGATAGGGCTTGAAGTCCAACTTTGTTGCACGGTAGAAGTCCGGCAAGAGTCCGCCCAGTTTCCAGCGGAGGCAAGGGTAGCTCCTCCGAGTCCGGGAGGCCGGCCCCGTGTAGCAGTACTGGATGACAGGTGCCTGGCGGAGCACTTTCACACCCACTGCCAGACGGAACTGGTGAACCTGCAAAGGATCTTGGTCCGTGGTGTGCAACTCATACTGCCGGAGGACCAAGGCATCCCCCACCTTCATGTTGAAGCGCTCCATCTTCAGCTCCAAGCCTTTTGGCAGAGGCGTGAGCCTAAAGCACCAGCCGGCGAAGAACATAAAGCAGCGGAAGGCCCAAGTTGGCAGCATGTTCTTCAGCTTCAAGACTAGCTGCTGCGACTTCTCCCAAAACTTGTTGAAGCCAACGCCCAGCAGCATGGCCAAGGTCCGTGTGGACGGAGACTCGTAGAGCAAAGGCCAACGGCTCAAGGGATCCCAGAACAAAAGGCCCGGACAGCTCTGCTTCTTAGCTTCGTCTCTCTCAGGCAAGAGCCGCCCCGCTTTGTCGCCCACGATCTTATACAGCTCCGGATTCTTCTCCTGTAGGAGAATGTCAAAAGAGTGAGGCATGTCTGCATGGTCCAGCAGAATCCAAAGGTTGAAGCCGTCGTGCCGACCAGCAACCCAAAAATCAGGATCATGGTGAATAAACTCGGCGGGCACATTATCAGCTGTGCGCCACGACCAAAAATCGTGCACAATCACAAATCCGGACCCAAGTTGCTTCTCAATTGCGGCATACAGTTTTGACACGATGCGCTCCAGTGAGGGATCTCGCGGCTCGCTGTGCAGATGCCTCAGGAGAGTGTAGTACTCCAGTGAGCGCCGGGGCTTTGGTCGATTCATGGAAGCTGCAGCGGCTTCGTTCTTCTCCCACTCCATCTTCACGTGAAGGTCGAAGAAACGCTTCAGGTACTCCACATCGGCGGTGTCCAGCAATCCTTGCAGAATGCGCGGGTACCCGTCACTGGGTCTCATATTGATCTCAGCGAGGTGCTCCAAGTGGTACCTTTCCGTGCAACGGTACCCCTAATCAATCTTGAAGCACGAGCCAAACACAACAAAGACTGTCAGAAGGAAGCACGAGCCAAACACAACCAAGACTGTCAGAAGGTTGCGTCACGCCTGCACAAGTCCGTGCGGGCCGGTTTCCGCACCGCTTGGCTGCTGCTTGAGCCAGCGGATGCTTCATCAGAAGTTCAAGGCAGTCAACTCCAAACGACGACTACCCGATGTCACAGCATTTTTAGGTCAGCATGCCCAGCAAAGTCTGGAGTGCTCTCCTTTATACAGATGCAACTTGGAGCGGCAGAGCTCCATGAAGGCAGATGTCAGAGTTGGAGACCACTGCTAGCCAGCCCTGGCTAGACAAGTTGGCTAACACCACTCAGCACCTCAATGCCAACTGTTGAATTCGATTTTTGCTGACAGTGACACTGCGAGTCCACACTTCTCGCAACGTGTGCGCAACTCTGCTACCGCCCTTCCTCAATCATCAGACCCCGCTGAACAAAGTCGCGAGGGCCAGTAGTGTAATTGAGCTGGCCGACAACACCGCTCTCAATGTCCAGTGTCATACAGAACGTGCTCGCGGCACAGATACTTCGCATCAACGATCTCGTAAGCCAAATGGATCCAGGGCCTCAGTGCTAGAAGAACATCACGGCAAGCGTGGACACGGGAAGATGGTCAAACGCCTGGCTGTGGCAAGGGGCTATGTGGCTAGTGCATGCCGTCGGTGCCACTTCTCAGGCCGGCCTCTGGGGCTTCGGGGCTTCCGGGGCTTAGCAGGCTTTGAGCATGTGACAAGGTTCTTTGATGGTTCTATACAGGTTCTACGATGAGGACTCTGGGACCCAGAGTCTGGTTTTGTTTTTGTAGGGCTTTAGGGCTTTAGGGTGCTTTAACGGGTTAGGTTGTAGAGCTTCAGGACTTTGTTTGCTTCAGGGGAAGGGTTGCAGGTTTCAGCATCTTCGGGTTTAGGGTGGCTTTGCGGGTTCAGGTGCCGTTTAAGGTCTGGGCATTCTACTGAGGCCTCAGGCGTAGTTCTTTCACGAAGAGGAGTTTTCGGGCAGTCGCGGAAAGCCTATCTTGACCTGCCAGAGCATGGACCCTAGTAAACAGCTAGGTCAGGGGGGCAGGTTAGTATGCGGTTTGATAACCGAACCTCTCTGTTCTGGGACTGCAGAGGTGGAGTTGGCAAGCACCTTTTGGTTTCTTGATGCAGATGCCTCCAAGCCTAGGCATGCCGGGATCCGCTTGCTTGGCCTGCTCTGTGTCTGGAAAGGCAGGCCCTCAAGCTCCATCAGCAAACCCTAAATAAACCCCCAAATCCCATAAACCTTAAACCCTAAAACCCTAAACCCTCAAACTACAGAAGCGAAGGCCCCAGGCAGCATTTCTCAAAGGAGGAACCTTGTTCCGAAAGCATGGAGGCAGTGCTCATGGGCTTTATGGCTTGCCTTCTAGAAATCATCGGTCGCTGCAGGCTCTAGTTATAGGACAGTCAATGAGTCAATTGCAAGCCCATGTGCCCCAGCGTGCCTATCCGCATGCTTTCCAACAGCTGCCGCCGGAATCGTGGGAGTGCAGGTCAAAGGAAGCCTTCTTTTCTGAATACATGTGCAACCTGCACCTTTCAAAAAATAGCTCCAGTTTTAAGGACATACACAAGGGAAGCACAAGAAGCCCTAGACAGCAATTTCTGGTTCAGGGCATCGGATTTAGGTAGGGGCCGTAGGACGACTGTAGGGACGTAGGGCTCCAAAGTCTAGAGCTGAGCATCTAGCTGAAGCTGAATCATGATGGGGTTTTGGGGTATCTTATGCTATGCTTATATTCGGGAACCCGAGGGAATTGCATTGTTACTTAAAGAAACCTCTGTACCAAATTACCTGTGATCTATGGTGGGTCAGGGTTTCAGGCATAGGGTTCTAGGGATTTCGGGCTGAAGGCCTAGGGGCCGAGACCTGCAAGCTCTGACCGCAATGAATGGATCACAAGCATCCCGCACACCTGCACACCCTAAAGCAAAACATAAACCTAAAAGCAACACATAAATACTTTGAAACCGAAGCCCTGCGCCGAGATGCGCAACGCCAGAGTCAACGTCCCAAGCAACACAGGCTCCGGTCCATGCCAAAGGAATCTCGCCCGTCGCGCTTTGCGCAAGCTGCACTTGCAGTCGGGATTCCTGTCAATGGCGGTGTCAAGGTGCATGGACAGTAGCAAAGCAGGTAAGGTACCGCAAGACTGTAAATAAAAATAATTGCTTGCAAGCCCTGTGCAACAAGGTAGAGTTGCCGATGAACCTTCTTACGGTACGGGTTTCGGAGCTTCGGGTTTAGACTACAGGGTTTGCGGCTGTTGAGCGCAAGCCGGTCAAGCCAAGAAAAGAGGTCAGCATAATTTGACGGGGGCTTTGGGTTGTTTAAAGCAAACTATGACTCCGATTGAATGTCTCGATCTCTAGATGACCGCAGTCCCAAACTTCTGGGAGCAGTGACAGCTCCCCCAAAGACTCGGCATCCCTTACTTGACCCCTACGAAGGATCCTTACTCTAAACTAAGGGATTCAAGCCTCCGCCTCTTTTAGGGCTCTTTCTGGTTTAGGGCTTGGGGTTTGGGGGTTACGGGTTTGGAGTTTCGGGATTCGACGATTTGAAGGTTTGCTGCATAGCACAGGGCTTAGCTTCGGGCATGGATGTCGCTCCAGTGGTCCAATCAATTCTCGAACCTCTAGAAGGTAAACCGAAAGCAGAACTAAAGGCCAAGACACCTTACCACACTATGCTCAACTAGACCGGGACTGGACCGGACGATCCTGTCTGTATCCTACGCCGTCCCATCTGCTAGCCCCTTTATGCTTACTTTACTGTACTATGCTATGCTTTGCTATGCTTTGCTAGGCTTTGCTATGCTTTGCTATACTTTGCTATGCTTTGCTATGCTTTGCTATGCTTTGCTGTGCTTTGCTATGCTACGCTATCCTCTGCTACGCTACGCTACGCTACGCTACGCTACGCTGCGCGACGCTACGCTATGCTATGCTACGCTACGCTACGCTACGCTACGCTTTGCAATGCTATGCTGTGCTATGCTGTGCTATGCTATGCTACACCACCCGAAAAGTTCATCCGGAACATGCGGCCCTGAACCCGAATACGAACACCCGAAAGGTTGACCACCACAAGAACTCCAGGCCACGAAGGAAGTGGAGCCCAACGCCTCAATCCTGCAGCTGTTGACCT